TAATTCAGTATTTGTTTTCTGCAAATTAAACTGTTGTTGTGAAAGTGTATTGAACAGATCAAATTATAAGTGCCATTGTTACACTGGTGAAGCATTGGTGATTGAAAAATGTTGTATCTAAGGATTACTTGTAAAAATATTTGCCGAAAGAATAGATGGTGACTCACGTAATGATTAGCTAGAAAAGTGCTTTTTGATTAAGTTCTAATGTGGCAATGGGATAATTGAGGACAGTTGCCTGGACCGAGGAGTGAAGGAGATAAGTTCATGAGGTATGATGCTGAAAGTGAAATTTTCATTGTATTGATTGGTATCATTGTTACTCTTCACCTTCCGTAAAGGTGTGCTGAACCAAATCTTGACTGTCCCTGTCCTAACCTGCAGCAAATCCTGTTTATCCTTTTATTATTTTCCTTTATCGCAGAATATCTTCTTCATCGGCTGAGCCAGAATTCATTCCTAATTGCCTTCTTGAATCCTACAGTCCACAGTGGGATTTATCCACTTATAATACTGTCAGGAAATGAGTTCCAGGGTTTTGACCCTGCGTCATTTGAAGGAACAGCGATATTGTTCCAAATCAGGATGGTGTGTGGCTTGGATGGAATTTTGTAGGTATTGGTGCTCTTGTACATCTACATGGATGGTCTCTATCTTGATAAAGAAGTACTGCCATTGTCCTTGTAGATGGTGAAGATTTTGTTGAGCGAGTTTCTGCAGTGCATCTTGTAGGTTGCCACTGTGCATCCTTCGTGAAGGGAATGAATGTTGAAAATAGCAGATTAGGTGTCAGTCAAGTGAGCTGCTTTGTAATGGATGATGTCAAGCTTGTTGTGTTGTTGGTGTAATACTTCTCCAAGTAAGCGGACAGTATTCTGTCACATTTGTGACTTTTGCCTTGGAAATAGCGAGCAGGCACTGGAGACAGGAGATGAGTTTCTAGCTACAGAATTCCCAACCTTTGTGCTGTTGTAGCCACAGTATTTATGTGGCTGTCCAGTTCAGTTCCTGGTCAGTGGTAATCCCACAATGTTGATTCTGGGGGCTTCAGCATTGGCATTATCGTGGATTATCAAGGGCACATAATTGGATTTATGCTTGGTTGAGATGATTCTTGTGTCCCACACATGTTACTTGCACTGTCCATTGTGCTTGTTTGCTGACTTGCTTTATTTCCTAATGTAGCTTATCTCAATTTTAAAATTCTCCACGTTATTCTGCATTTGTAACCCCTGTCTATTGTCTTACCTTTTAATGCACTGTCTCTTTCACCAAGCTTTTAGTCAGCTTCTCTAATAATCTATCTGACTTTGTTTGATCACTCTTAGGAGATGCTGTGTTTTAAAGCTGTTATGTAATGCAAGTGGAAGTTATAAATTAAAAGATGATTAACATTTTTACTACTTCATTTCAGAAGAGCTGTGGCCAGGAGTTAATGGTCCGGTCCCCAAGGTGAGTTGTAAAACTTTTGATTAAAAAGAACATTATAAAGTTGTGGTCATGTAATTTTTACAGCTATATTGTCCAAATAGTTTGATGATAAACATTGTATTATCTATTCATTACAAGGAAGATCTAGTTATATGATGCAAATAATTTGTCAATTTAGAATTACTTATTTTCACATTTAGTAAAATATTAGGTTGGAACGTCACTGCTAATATTCAACTTTATGTTGAATATTATGGACTGCTTCTAGATTTGCTCTGCCCATGAGTGGAAAACCTTTTCCATTCTACTGTTTCAAAAGGTTTCATAATTTTAACTGCTGTTAATTCACCCACTTGGCCACTGTTTTTAAGCGAATGGAAAAACTATCCCTTCATCCTTTCATTATAGGTTTAACCTCCCTATTTAAGTATCATGGTAAATACTAGTTGCACTCTCTTCACCACCTGTATATCCCTTTTTTTATAATGTTCTGACCAGAAAACTATGGTGCTCTCCATGTGTGGTCGAACCAAGAATAATATAAGTTTTTAGCATAACTTGCCTATTTTTATATATTTCCCTATAGCAATTAACCTTAGAACTGGTTTTGCTCCTGTTATTATCCTTGTTAATCTTTGTAAACTTTGAGTGATTTGTATATGTTTACTTCCAGATTTCTTTTCCTTTTATCTCCTTTTAGACTTTTCTTTTCTAAGTAATATGTAACCTTATTTTTCTTAAAATGTGGTGCCTCTGATTTTTTCTATGTTAAAATGCATTTGTCAATTGTGTACTTTTTTTCATGTGTTTATTAATTTCATCTTGTGATTTGTATATTTCCCTTCAGCATCAACTGTCTTTCTCAAATTGGCATTGTCTGCAAATTTGGAGTTTGTATTTTTGATTCCAAAGCCTGAAATGTTGTTTTAGAGGTTGTGAACGAGTAATTTCATCAGTAATCCTGGTTAGGCCTCAGTTTTTAACCTCTGCCACTCTGAAGCTATCTTTTACTCCTACTTTTATTTCATGTCTTTCGTTTAACCTTAGTAAGTTTGCAGATTATATTAAAAGTGGAGGTATAATGGATAGCGAAGGAGGTTACCTCAGTACAATGGGACCTTGATCAGATGGGCCAATGGGCCAAGAAGTGGCAATGGAGTTAAGTTTAGATAAATGTGAGGTGCTGCTGTTTGGAAAGGTAAATCGTGGCAGGGCATCCTGGGAGTGTTGCTGCTTGGATTGCAGGTTCACTGTTCCTTGAAAGTGGAGTCACAGGTAAATAGGATAGTAAAGAAGGTGTTTGGTATGCTTGCCTTTATTGGTCAACGCATTGAGTGTGGGAGTTGGGAGGTCATGTCGCCGCTGTACAGGACATTGGTTAGGCCACTTTTTAAATACCGCGTTCAATTCTGGTCTCCTGCTCTAGGAAAAATGTTGTTAAAATTGAGAGGGTACAGAAAAGATTTGCAGTGATGCCAGGGTTGGAGGGTTTGAGCTAGAGGGAGAGGCTGCATAAGCTGGGGCTCTTTTCCCTGGAGTATTGGAGACTGAGAGGTGACCTTTTATAGAGGTTTATACACTCATGAGGGGCATGGATAGGGTAAATAGGCAAGGTCTTTTCCCTGGGGCGGGCAAGTCCAAAACTAGAGGGCATAGATTTAAGGTGGGAGGGGAAAGATTTAAAAGGGACCTAAGGGACAACACTTTCAAGCAGAGGGTGGAGCGTGTGTGGAATGAGCTGCTAGAGGAAGTGGCGGAGGCTGGTACAGTTATAACATTTAAAAGGCATCTGGATTGTATATATGAATAGGAAGTGTTTAGAGGGACATGGATCAAATGCTGGCAAATGGGACTAGATTTACATAGGATATCTGGTTGGCATGGATGATTTGGACTGAATCGTCTATTTCTGTGCTGTACATCTCTATGGCTCTATGACTGTATGAACCATGCTTTCTGCCTCTTTCCCTGACTTTACATGCCCTGACCCTTTATTCATTAGTTGATAATGTGGTATCTTTTATTGAAACCTAGATAAATTACTTGCTTCTACATTATCCTTGTTTACTGTCTGTTCCGTCTTCAAAGAATTCAGTGAGGTTAGTTAGTGTTTCATGTGTCTGTGTTTTGTAACTTAGGCATCAGATGAGTCACCAGACAGGATTTCCATGTTTGACACCCCCATTTTTACAGAGGAATTCCTTGACCAGACCAAAGGTATTCTGATTCTATTTGATTTTTCCTGCTGTTTTGCAGTCTTGTGCAGTGGATAGATGGAATGCATGGTACAGTGTCAAGGCATAAAATGTTGAAAGTATTACTGCAATGCATCTTGTAGGCTGCCACTGTGCATCTTCAGTGAAGGGAATGAATGTTGAAAATGGTGGATGAGGTGCCAGTCAAGTGAGATGCTTTGTACTGGATGATGTCAAGCTTCTTGTGTTGTTGGTGTAATACTCCTTGAGGTGATCTCTGCTTTGGTGTCCGATCTAGATGCCAGTTTCCACTCTTGGTTGCCAGAAAGGGCAACTGACAGAACTTGGCAACAATAAGTGTTTGGAATAATTTACTGAAGAAGGAAATTAAGGCTAAAATTTGAACAATTTAAATCTGAATTAAGCATAATTTATAACACAACAGTTGAAGTCCTTAATCAAGTTGTTGTTATTAGACATTAAATAATTATATAAACATTAATTTTTCCCAACAATGTAAAATCAGAATATAAATGGACATTCAGAAAAATGTCTCAATTTGTATATGATGGATGAGGAAAGGATTGTGTGTTCTCTCAGTTGGGAATCATGATTATAACCACTTGCCGTGCTAATTAATACAATAAAGATTACTTAATTGAGCTACCTAACAGCTTAAACACAGAAGTCAGCTCCTTTCTTTTAAATTGGGCATAAAACCAAATTGCAGGGGGAAGTGGAGAGGAACAAACTTGTGGCACAGTGGTCGAGTCCCTTCCTCTTGGCCAGAAAGCCAGGGCTGAAGATCCCCTTGCACTGGAGATGTGTCATAATATGTCCAAACAGTTTAGTTGAAAATAACTAAACAAATCAAGGAAATCACACAGTTTGTTTGAGTAACAAAGTAAATGTAGCAAATAAAATCTGTAATCTCAAGTAATGGACCCTGCAACTTGAATGATCTTGCGTGTGTTATTTGGCAGTTGACTTTGATTATTCATGCTTTAATGGCCCTTTATTTTTGGTTTAAACTTTTAATTATTTTGATGTGAGCATTAACTAGTGAAGTTACATTTGAAGGAGCTGTACAATATTGACTTACATTCTTGGGGAAGAAAATTTTATATTGAAGTATTTAAACGACTTCAATAATTAATACCTCATTTCACCAATCCTCTCAGCTTGTCCCTAGATCAGCTGCAGGAAGTAAGGCTATAAATTCCCATGTGGTAAAATGTTCATGCAAGGTACTGAATGCAGTTGTACTATATCTTTATGTTGGTGATTGAGAAGATGAGTTACCTATTTGCAGCATGTATTTTTTTTTTCCTAGTTATGCTTATAGATCTCTTTCAGAGCAGCACAAGTTATCTATTTTGTTGGTCATTAGTGCGATTTTTGGACTGCACGGACATTCCTTGTGTGTTAGCTTCCAAACATTGATATCTGTATGATTGCTCCGTTTTTAGGTTAAATACATGTTCGATGCTTTTGGTTTTTGTATTTTTCAGAATTTTTCAAACAGTAAAATCTCAACACAACCTGGAAGAAATAACATCCACTCTGTCAAGGGACTGATCGCACTAATTAATTTGAGTGTTTGTTTGTGTTGCCACTGTACATTAACCTTTGGGAAATTGAATATGACTTTAATGCACCTTTTCCAATGAGGAAATTGTACTCTGACTACAATTGGCTTGTCACCTTTTTTAAACCAATATAAAATGTAAATTTAGCTGAGCTTTTGTTTCTCTTTTTAAGCTCGTGAATCAGAATTACGGAAGTTAAGAAAGTCAAATGTGGAATTTGAAGAGCAGAATGTTATCTTACAAAAACACATAGAGACTATGAATAATGCCAAAGAGAAACTTGAACAGGAGTTGGCACTGGAAGAGAGACAAACACTGACATTGCAGCATCAGCTACAGGCAGTACGCCAGGCCCTGACTGCCAGCTTTGCTTCAATTCCCATTCCAGGTGAGAATAGAAAATGGTTTAAAGAAAATAGTAATTGAATCATCCAAAACATTGTGCAGGTATAATTTTCAGGCCATTTTAAACAACTGGTGCAGTTCGTAGTGTACTTATGTATTGTAATTTCCTTGTCGTTTTCTGATGTGATTCCCATGGCCATTCAACTATTGTATTGTAATCACCAGTGATGAGTTCTGGTCATTACATTCTTTGAAGCTATTATTTTCCTATCTAACCAATGTCATACTCCAAGCGAAGGGAGACGGGTGATCCATTTTTCAGACCTCCGTCAGTTGTGTTTTGACTGTTTCAAAGGTGTGTAGACTCAGCTTAGTCACCACTCTCCTTCATGGTTCTCTTCTTTCTTAAGAAAATGTATCTTGCTATTTCCTACTGTGATATGGCCACAAGTAAAATCTGGCATCTGAACCCACATGTTGTATATTGCTTAATGGTGCTCCTTTAGTCCGGTAGTGGTTCTTTTATTAGTCTTTTAAGGAGAAACCTAGAATTTTTAGATGGTATTTTTGACAGTGGGTCTCCATTTTAGTACTTTATTTGGACCATAGAACAAAATTACCACCGGCATTAATATTCTAATAATCAGATCAAATTGGATATTCATTGTGGTGAACTGCTTAAATTAAAGTTAAATTTTTGCTGTGTAAACAATATTGGAGCTCAACCATATAAAATCTTTTCCATCCACGTTGTAGATGGACAACATGTTGTGTCACACAGTATTTATTTCCATTATTTAAATAGCTTCATAGCTATTGGTCTTGAGTGTAGAAAGTGTACTTTGGTGGAAACCAATATGTTCTGGTAACTGAGATAACAAGGTGTGGGGCTGGATGAACACAGCAGGCCAAGCAGCATCCGAGGAGCAGGAAAGCTGACGTTTCGGGCCTAGACCCTTCTTCAGAAATGTTCTGGTAACTGCCTGTTTTCCAAATTTATAAAACTGCTGAGGAGTAACTTTGAAAACAAAGTGGCTTCTCCTTGGGGCTTTAGTGTTCTTTTCAATTGTGTGTATAATCAATACTGGTACATTTAGGGAGCCGATTGACATTAGGCAGCTTTATGGTCACGTGAGAAGATGGGTTCATCTGTTGACCCTTATGCATATGATTGTGCTTTAGCGCATGAAACACAACGAAGAGAAGCAGACCTGGCAAGTTAAAACAGCTGGGGAAGGGAGAGTAGCTTTAGACTGAGAAACAGCATCGAGAAAGGTGGACCTGGTGTTAAAACAATAGAGAAGGGAAAGGAGCTGCTGGAGAGGAGCTCACCATAGTGTGAAATAAACAGTAACATCATAGGAAAACCCTAAGTTCATTGCTTGCTTAAGGAACTCCAACTCCGAATTGATGAACTAAAGTGTGAGCTTTGGCTACTACAACACATGTAACTACCTTGAATTTGGCCAGTGGTCAGGGACAGGAGGGTGTGACTGAGTGAGGCAGGTAGAGGGATGCAGCAGGTAGTGTTGCAGGAGCCTGCACTCTTGTCCTTATCCAACAGGTTTACAATCTTTTTTTTTTTCTTGTGTGGATGAGAGTGGGGTTTATAGGTAAGATGAGTAAACTGACTGTAGCACAGTTGTACAGGGCACCATCAACTGGGAGAAGAAAAGAGAAATGTAGTGGTAATCTTGGATAGTACAGTTAGTGGCATAGACTGTTCTCTGTGGCCAGATGGAGAGTCCCAAATGCTATGTTGTCTACCTGGTGCCTGCTTCCAGGATGTCTCGTTTGGGCTGCAGAGGAGCTTGGAATGGGAGGGGAAAGATCCAGTTGTAGTGGCCCACGTAGGTACCAACAATATAGGTAGAACAAGGAAAGGGGTTTTGCTGAGTGAATATGAGCAGCTGGGGGCTAAATTAAAAGCAGAATCAAAAAATGGTAAGTTCCAGATTACTACCTGAGCCATGGGCTAATTGGCACAGAGTCAATAAGATTAAAGATTTAAATGTGTGGCTGAAACATTGGTGTGGGAGAAATGGGTTTGAATTCATAGGACATTGGGACCAGTACTAGGGAAGGAGGAAGCTGTTTCAATGGGATGGGCTCCACCTTAATCATGCTGGGACCAGAGTCCTGGCAAATGACATAACAAAGACTGTAGATAGGGCTATAAATTAAATACTAGAGGTGGGGGTTCAGTTTCAGGAAAATTAGAAAATCAAATGTTCAAGGAGAAGGTAGGAGCGCAGGTTAGCGATGAGGCTGGTTGTTACCAGAAAATAAAAGGAATGAACTGAATCTGTGAATGTCATCTCGCACCAAAGGATCATAAGGGAGTAGGAAAATGTGATAATAAAACAAACTTAAAGGCTTTGTATCAGAATAAAATGAAATGAGTTAATGGTGCAAATAGACACACGGGCATGATTTGATGGCAGTTACTGAGACATGATTATGACACAGCAGGTTTGGGAATTGACTATCCAAGGGTACTTGGTGTTTCAGAAGGATAGGCAGCAAGAAAAAGGAGTGGTGTAGGTTTGTTAATAAAGGAAGACCTCAGCGCTGTAGTGAGAAATGATATAGGCACTGGAGATCAAGACATAGAATCAATCCAGATACAAGTAAGATAAAGCAAGGGAAAGTTGTATTCTATAGTTTCTCAGTGGGGCATAGTATAAACCAGGAAATATTGGGGACTTGTAAAAAAAAGTATGGCAATAATCGTGAGTGGTTATTAATATGCATATAGGTGAGTTAAGCAGATTGACAAGGATATCCTTGAGAGAGAGTTAACTGAATGATTAGAGATTTGTTTCTTGGAGCAATACTTTGGGGAACCAACCAGAGAGCAGCCTGTTGTAGATTTTAGTTTTGTTATGAGGTGGCATTAAATAATGATCTCTTCATAGTAAAGGGTCCTCTGGGGAGAAGTGGTCATTAGCATGCTAGAATTTCTAATTCAGTTTGAAGATGAGAAACTGGAGACCCACATGAGTGTTCTGGAGTTAACAAAGGTATTTCTGTAGGCATGAGGACAGATTTGGCCCGAGTGGACTGAGCAATAAGGTAGGGCAGTTGATGAACAGTGACAGATGTTTAAGCAGATACTCAATTCCTCCAATCCAAATATATTTGAGAGGAAGAAAGGTTACAGAAGAGGCACAAAACATTCATGGTCAAGCAAGGAAATTAAAGATAGCATAAAGACAAAAAAGAATGAAAGGAGATGTATTTGAGTATATAAGATGCTGAATAGGAGTGACATAGAGAGGACAATGTAGAATGAGAGGTCGTAATTCAGCCTTTGAAAACAATGAGGGAAATTACTTCTCTCAAAGGGTCGTGAATCTGTGGAAATCACTACCCCAATGTGGTACATGCTGGCACTTTGAATAAATTTAAGGAGGAGACAGACAGATTTTTAATTTAGTAATGGGTTGAAGGTTCTGGAGAGTGGACAGGACAGTGGAGGTGAGGCTGAGATGAGATCAACTATGATCATATTGAATTGCAGAACAGATTTGAGGGGCTGAATTGCCTACGTCTGTTCCTCGTTCTTATGAGCATCATAAATCCTGTAACTCCCCCAACAGTAGCCACTTAATTTTCTGGGAACATGATAAACATTCAATTTAAAAATAACTTAACAACCCAGGGTCAATTTAGGAAAGCTAAAAGTCTGAAAAACCTTTTTCCTCACAAATAGCCAGCAAGAGATCAAAAGAATCCTGGGGGACCATTCGAGCATGAAGCATATCTGCTAGTATCCCAGCTGCGTTTTGTGCCACTCACTTTTACATGCTTGTAACAAATCTGCACTCTGTGTGATCCAGAAACCAGTTCCAAATTCTGTGGCCATCTTAGAAAAACATAGCATCTGACCTAGTTCCGTATCAGTGCAACTTCTGTGCAAGACTCTCCATTCTTCCCTACTCTATTTATTACAAATTATCAGTCAGATGGTCAGTCTCCTTTTTTATTATTTTAAACATATTGATAAAGGTCTACTTTCGTCTCGTGTAAAAGAAAACATATATATTGCAGGAATTTGCTTATCCAACCCATGACCTAACTTGCAATCACGCAGATTTTTATCATGGAATCCCTACAGTGTGGAAACAGGCCCTTCAGCCCAACAAGTCCATGCTGGCACTTCAAAGAGCATCCCACCCAGACCCACCCCACTACTCTTTCCCTCTAAACCTTCATTCCCATGGCTAACACACCTAATCTACACATCCATGAACACTACGGGCAATTTAGCATGGCCAGTCCACCTAACCTGCACATCTTTGGACTGTGGGAGGAAACCGGAGCACCTGGCGGAAACCCACACAGACACCAGGAGAATGTGCAAACTCCAAACAGACAGTCGCCTGAGGGTGGCATCGAACCTGGGTCCCTGGTGTTGTGAGGCAGCAGTACTAACCACTGAGCCACTGTGCCACCCACAACTCTATTCAGTAGTGTCTTGTCTCTGTGATTTAGTGTTCACTGGAATTTTGGCAAAGTATATTGCCAGTAGTGTAAATTGATTTTGTATTTCTGCTCAAATTTTATTTTAGATGACATTGCACTCATCATTCAGATTTAGTTTCATCAACAATGCCTAGATTTTCTGACAAGATGTGGAAATTTCCATCCTGTTTGGACAAAAAAAAACTCTTCTCTTAACAGGAGTTCTCCCTGAAAATTTTCTGGCTAGTAGCATTCTCACCTAAATCAGTGAGACAATTCTAGGTGGTCACAATGACAAGAGCAATGACAACATGCCTCCATTGCTAATGACACCTCCTTTTTTCAGTTGTATTCATAGAGTGATACAGCTGTACAGCATGGAAACAGATCCTTCAGTCCATCTCATCCACGCTGACCAGTTATCCTAAATTAATCGGAGCACATTTTAGTCCTCCTATACCTGGGTAATTATTAAACTGAACACTGACTCAAACCTGTAGGTTTAAGGTGAGAGGGAAAAGATTTAAAACGGACCTAAGGAGCAACTTTTTCCACATAGAAGGTAGTGCGTATATGGAATGAGCTGCCAGAGGATGTGGTGGAGGCTGGTACAATTGCAACATTTAAAAGACATCTGAGTGGGTATATGAATAAAACGGGTTTAGAGGGATTTGGGCCAAATGCTGGCAAATGGGGCTAGAATAATTTCAGATATCTGGTCAGCATGGACAAGTTGGACCAAAGAGTCTGTTTCCATGCTGTACAGGTGTGACTCACCAGCCATCTTTTGACCCAATACCTCACCTTTGCCTCGGACATGATTTCACCCTGGCCAGATGCATCTCCAAAGCTCCCCTGTATTTCCCTCAACCCAGCCTCCCGCTTACCCTAAATCATCCACAACTTGACAACCTCATCCCTCCCTCACCAGCCTGGCAGCCCAACTGCAAACTTATCTTAAACACTTAATTTCTCTGAGTACGTTTCAAAATGGCAATGGGATCTTTCAGTCACCTGATTTTGTCATTTATATAAATGATTTGGATGTGAATATAGGAGGAATGGTTAGTAAGTTTGCAGAAGACACCAAATTTGGTGGTGTAGTCAACAGTGAAGAAGGTTATCTAAAGGGGCAACAGGATCTTGATCAGATGGGCCGAGGAGTGGCAGATGGAGTATAAGTTTACGTAAATGTGAGGTGTTTCAATTTTTCGATCTTTCACTAAGAAACAAATCTGGAAGTGATGCCACCCACCCCAGCAAATTGAGACACACAAATGGCAAGTGGGACAGAACACAGATACTGCACCGGAGGTGCACTGATGATGTTACTTAGTATGGTGATGAAACGTCTGCAAATAAACTTACCAGTTCGGTGAGCAAGTCAACAATCGCAAGACAACCTTCTTGTTGGAAAATCTGGACCAGTATTGCAGATTTTATGTCATTTCATTCCTGATATTTGCTAGTATTAAACATGAAACTTTTTTTAAAAATAAAAAGCAATATGTGTTCTATGACATCAGTGCATTTTTGTGATACCTGTCCAAATTTGTTACTGTTTTCATCCAATACAGTCTTTCTTTTTGCTCCTAGGTACTGGAGAAACACCAACAGAAGGAACGCTTGATACATACATGGCCAAACTCCACAATATCATTGGGAGCAGTCCCATAGAATATGAAAAACTAGTTGGAAGGGTGCAGGAGATCATCAACCAGCTAGATAGGTAAGGTTTGACAAATAACTGGACACACCAAGGAAAATTGCTTGTTTTGAATGCAATTCTTCAGTGATATTGAGGTTAGCTCATAGTTAAATTTCAATTTTAATATTTGCTATATTAATTTATAGTCACAAGAATCTGTTAGGACATGATGTTTGACCTCCCTTCAGGATAGGAAGGGAATGACCATCCCAAGTTCCCATCCTTTTTTGCTATATTGCAACACCATCTAGAAGTTTACGTTTGTACATCTCAAAAAAGAACAGAAATGGGTTTGGTTATTGTCGCCCATATGGGTGATTTGCCTCGTAACATTTAAATTGTTATGTTAGCTCAGCCCTGTGTTTCTAATTTACTGTAAATACTTTGTTTCTGTTTAATTAAAATTATACAAATAAATCCAACCACTAGCTGTAATCTAAATTGTGCAGGTTAACAACATTGTATTTTCCAACCAAGTTGGTTGACCTGTGGAAAACAGAATGTGCAATGTCCTGTGCAAAATAACTCTGTAAAAGAATATATTGTTATGTTGGTATCGCAATATTTCTGTTTATGCCACATATAGGGGTATAAGTTTTGGGCTATGAGTCAACTGGTCTGCCAGACTGTATATAAATTTTAAATCCTTATTATAGAAATTGATGTGTTATTCAAAACTGTAAGCAATCTCATGGTATTTTTTGTCTTTTGTACTCTTTTAATTCTTCTGACGGTTTGTATGGCATTTTGGATCATTTCCAACCTGTAGTGAATCTAATGTCCTATTTATACACATGCACGTGTGTGGTTACATTCTTTTACCACATGATATTTTTTAAGTGATCTGTGAGAATTTGCATTCCAGCAAAATATAGCACTTGTTGATTCTTAATGACTTCTCAGTTGCGATTTTTGTCTTTCAATTCAATACTTGAACCCTGATCTGGGAATGTCACTTTTTTTTTATTTCCTGTTCCATTAGAAAGTCTGCCACCACATTGAGCCCAATCATATCATACTTGAGATGTGTTATGTGTATATACTAACACACTTTTAAATGTTGTCTATGCACACTTTTTAGGTAACTTTTTCTTTCCATTTTTAATTTGTCTCCCCATGTTGGTACAAGCCATCTTAGCTAAATTTGTCAGCCTGTAATTACAGTCTCAGCGGAGATGTTGCCTTCCTGCCATTGGTAGGTGGATGTCATTGCAGCATGACAAGTTTAAATATGTAGTTTCTATTTTAATTGTGGACATTAGACACAGTAAAGAAAAATAACATTATAACTTTATAATGGGTGCATGCCCTTATTTCCGCAAGACTTCATTTGGTTTAGCTCCTCTTATTTGCAATTCCACTCGGGTCCATTAATAATGTACACTAAATTTTGTATATCGCTTGCACAGTCTGCAGTACTTTGCTCATTACAAATTGATAATACTAGTTAGAAAACAGGATATACTTTGGTTCACCATGAGTGGCATTTTGAAGTATTGAAATCCTTGCACACAAACTCTTCCTCTTTCATAATGCAGTATTTCCTGTAGTCTGGTATTTTCATCATACTTAAATTAAAAATGTCACCTTGAAACCACACAGCTCACAATTTTGCTTCATTAGCTGTAAAGCACTGTGGGATCCTGAGAAGGTGAAAAGCACAATGTTTGTTTTCTTTTCCTTCCTAAACTGGGTAACGCTCTGCTTTATAGTTCTATTTACATGAGGCTCTGTTGAGCAACAGTAACATTTTTGGAATCGCTTCTTGGCCCTTTGCTGACATCCTGCATGTTTCCATCCGTAGGCGGTTCTGCTACTTTTGCCAATAATTTATCATCAGCTTCACTGTTTCTTCCTTTTTCCATCTTTATTATCATAATTCCTCACCACCAAAGCAATTCCTTCCTGAACTATAACTTCTCCTTTTTATTCACCCAACTGTAGACATTTCCATCAGTTTTCAAGGCAATTTACTACTGGCACATTATACGTCAACATTCTGCCTTCTGGCGAACTTTCATACACTCACTACAATGAACAAAATCATCTGCTCAGCACAAAAACTGACACTTGTAGGAGCACAGATGTAGTAGTTATAGAATTGCATGTGAGAAAATCCCATAAAAATTCTAAATTGTTTAAACACTCATGTATGTATTTATTTATTTATTTACACACTCTCTCTCACACGCGCGCACACACACAGCATTGTAGAATTACATTAGCAATCTCGCACTCAAAGGCTAGACAGTGATGCTGGTGATGAAAAAAATCACCGTGTAGTTAGAGGTAATGGTCTGAAATTGGCATAAGTAGTGGAATCCTGACTGCATATCTAATCTTGACGTAATTGCTGACACTTGCAATTTAATGTGGAAAATTGCTTGCAGGTACTCAACAACTCTCTTAAAATAGAAATCTGAAATGTTTTGGAATTTTAATTAAATTCAAATTGATGACATTGATATTTAATTCATAGAATTCAAATCAACTGTAAAATAGATATAAATTGTTTAGTTTTTTTGAAATTTGATTTGTGATTTTTATGTTCTTAAATTTTTGCCTTTCAGTGATAAGTTATGAAGATGGGAAGAAATGTTTGTAAAAATGCAAAATAACCATATCCATGGTATTGCATCAGAGGCGGGCCGCAATTTGTTGGATTTTTAAAAATAGCTAGTTTCCACCAGAGACTGTTGATAAATTATGTAAAATGTTAATATTTTAGTCTCCTTATGACTGTTGCACATATTTGATCTACTGGTTTTGATAATCCTAAAATCTAATGGGATATTTCTGATTTGAAAGGTCTTGCTCCGTCTTGCATGCATGTTCATAATGTTTGAATACCTTTAATATACGCTAAACTAGTATATGAATTGAATTATGTGCAAAGACAGAGACCTCAAGCTATCACAGCCAGGAGGTTCTACATATAAAATGAATTATTTTCTGTCTGATTGCTAAATAGTTGCTGGTATTTTGTACAACCGAAAGCTTGAGCGTTACATTTTTACTTGATGCAGTAATGATCTTACTGTTTGTTTATCTTTTAGTAATGTTTTCAAACACTATTTTTTTAAAAAATGCATTTATTTTCCAGTGCAAAAATCGCTAGACAAAAAATGTCAGCAACCATTTATAGTATTTTACACCAATATAAATAATATATTCTGGACGATAACATAAAATGAAAGTATTGGATTGTATGAATTTGTTCGGAATCTGAGATACGGTCAGGAGTTTGAAATTCTATTGCATTTTATTAGTTAAGATTACATCCCATAGAATGTAAGGGAATGTGTATAGTACAAGACCTGGGGAACATGTCTTCTCGAGCAAACAATTCCACTATAGAATTTCTTTATTGCACTTGGTATGAAAATGCTGCAGCTCTTTTTTTTTAAGTTACTTACACATAGGTTGTAAATTGTAAACATTTCTGTGCTCTGTACTAATCAAAATTGATCCAGTTAATATCTGCAATATATACATTTTGATTACATTAATTCAGTAAATTATTTGAGGTGACATTAGAATATTGACAATGAATTCATGATAGATGAATAGAATTATTTTTCATGTATTCATGTTTTCATGACTTTTACTGGTGGTTGAAATTTGTGAAACAGAGCTATGCTAGTGAAGTCTTATTGAATACTGCTGTTCATATAAACCTAATAAGAATTGTATGGTAAAATCAGTGTACTCAAATAAATATATTCGCATTACATCTGTTCTCATTTACTTTAAAATGGCCACTTTTCCTTATTCTTTCTGAACACACTCAACCTAATCAGCAATATTATTAAGTCAAGTCACTGCTGACACTGGGATAAATATAGAAACAGAAGTAAGCATGTACTTTGCCTCGTGTGTCATTATACATACGGTAAACCTTTGAAGTTAAAAACTACTAACTATAAATTAGGTGATCTAGTGCTATTCATTCTTGTGATATATTTATATTTATGTAAAATAAACACTGAACTGTGCTATAAGATCATTTGCGAGCACCTTTTTCATTTTCATAACACCTTGACAAATATATACTGACATCCTATATCAGTGGTAAGAATAATGTTTTGTGTGCTCTGTATTGTAAAGTAATCTTAACTATAGGAAAGGAAGATCACATACTAAAGCAAGTCATCTTGCTGCTTTCACTGCTTTTTAATCTGGGTTAAATTCTGGTGCTTGGATATTGGTGAACAATGAAAAATGTGAGAACTGTCTGTCTTGACACCTTGGGTACTTTCAGTAAGTTAAGCAAGGGAGGTCAGTTAAATGTGTTAAAAGAGCATGCTATTTGCCATGGAAATGTCTGGTTTTAGATGTAATTGTTAATTTAGTTCTTGATGTTGCAAGAGTTATAGGAATGACTTTCTTGGAGTGTTTCTTTTTGTCTCTTTGTAAAAGGGATGAAAATTCCTAAGACTTTTTTTAAAAGAAACCTTTTCTACTCATTTGGTTCTGTGACTTCCACTATTTCAGTAGCCTCTTTTTTTTCTTTTGGAAGCTGTTGCTTTCTAGGATGCAGACAGAGGTGATAACCTAGCATTCAGGAACTCTTTCGCAGTTTCTAATGTGGTAACATTCCAACCAGTTATTGCCCTCCAACCAGCATTCTGTCTGAGATCAATTCAACACTCAGAGGGTGCTGCTTAATTTCAACGACTAAAATCAAAGTGGGTAGAATGGGAGCACTGCAAGGAATAGAATCATGTACAGGTTCAAACTTCTTTTGTTATTGATTTTATTTTTAAAAGGAAAATCATAACTTTTATAACTAATGCCACATTAAGGGGAAGCCCCTCCAGTTAACAGATCAGGGAGATAAGGATGGAAGGAGATGCACGTGGTGCATTACTGCTAATGTAAATCAGTTGGACTAGATGGCCAACTGTGAATTCTGCAACAAAACTAGAATCAAATCTCCAGTTTCCTACTTCAGTGCAGTACACAAGTATTTTCATGCTTGCAGCCTTTAGAACTGAAACTAACGTTTAAAATGTTGCAGTTGAAAGATGGGCACAATAAATAATTGGCAAAAGAATTGTTGAGCTGTATTAAGACAGATTAATACAATGGGAGTAATTAAAGAACTCTTTTTTTCCATTTTAAAAAAACAAATCTCAGCTTAAGGACAGGGTGTATTTTGAGCAAAACCATGCCCAAGAAGCATTGACTTGAAGATGCTCCTATGCTGAGTTGTGGGTTCATATCCAGAAGTAAGACAATAATAACACTAATCATGGGAGAACTGCCTGAACAGATCAAATTAGCAGAAGTTTGAAGGATAAATTTATAGATTATGTTTTCTTATTCTATTTCATCTTGTTTCTCCAAGCACTGGAGTACACATACTGCTGTCATGACAAAGTTAAAACAGATCTTTAATAAGACCTTGCACTTCATAATCCGGAATGAATGCTTATATATGTCCCACTCTATGATTCAGGAAAATAGTGCTTTTATTTTATGGAGCTGAGACCTCTCAATTCAATATCAGTGATTGGATATATCACACTTTGCATTTTTACTAATACTGGAATCTGATGGTTCACTCTAAATACTTGCATGGTACCAGCAATGGTGGAACTAGTCTATGGAATTATACTAAATCACAGATTCATAAAAGGACATCAGAATAACAGTATAGAACCAGTAAGTCAGTCTTGAATCCATTTTAATCATCTTGTGACCATAGTTAGATTGCCCTATCAAGCTTTATAGTTAAAGTTACTACCAGTGCATCTGGTATCACTATAGTTACTTCCGTTTAATATCCTAGAACATCCAATCAGATCCAGAGAATTTAACTGCCTTTCACCTCATTAGTTTCCCTGGTACTTTGTCTCCATTAATAGTTGTTATTTTTCTTTCCTCCCCTCTTCTTGATCTTTATTTAGTATTTTTGGAATGCATAGTGTCCCTTACTGAGAAGACTGATGCAAAGCATTTATTCAACTCTTCTGCTGTTTCCTGGTTCGTTGTTATTATTTCCACGTTCTCAAAGAGGGCTATGTTCACTTTGACCTCCCTCTCCCTTTTATATATATTTAAGTAAGCTCTTGCTGTCTAACTTGATATTATTTGCTCGTTTATTTTCATTTTCCTTGTTATCTATATTGTTGGTTTTACAAACTTGTCCACTCTTCTGGCTGCACGTTTAGTATTTATTGAAATATTTATTGCCAAAGCTAAATTGATTCATTATGATAGATCACCTTAGAAGTTCTTCCTCTTTTTTTGAGCCAAGACAGAGCAATTCCTCAATGATTGATTGTATTCACCTGTTTATGTTTTCTGGTTTTTTTTCTTTTCACTGAATGATTTGATAATGTTGTTCCCATAATAAGAATATTCAGCAGGACAGGTAGCTTGCTTTATATTGGCAATCATACTTACCATTGTGAAACATTGGTGGCTGTTTTTTCTACACCACAATATTCACAGCTTTGATCTGCAAATATCATAATTTTGGACTGATTTCTAATTATGAGGGTTATAAATCAAAGGTTCACAAAATAGACTCCATTTTGTACCTGCAGCACTTTGTCAACTTTTTGTCTTTTTCCTTTCAGCCCTTCACCTTCTTTAGTTCTGTGTCCCATCACTTTTCCTTTTAATAAACATATAAATTAGGAGCAGGACTAGGCCTGTTGAGCATGCACTGCCATTCAATAAGATTATGGCTAATCAGACAGTATTCTCAAAGTTACATTCCCACTTAATACTGATTACCTTTCATCCTTTTGCTTAACAAGAATCTGTGAAAGTCTGTTTTAAAAATATTCAAGGACTCAGTTTCCCTAATGTTTTTAGGAAGATAGTTCCAAAAACTCAGCACCCAGTGAAACAAAACAAAAAAAGCCTCATTTCTGTCTTAATTTAAATCCCTCATTTTTGAACTGTGACCCACAGTTCCAGATTCTTCCATTAGAGAAATTATCCTCTCCATATCTAGCCTGTCAAGACCTTGCAGGGTCTTATGTTTCAACGAGTCAACTCTTGTGCTTTCAAATTCTAACAGGTAGACATCTAGCTTGTCCAACTTTTCCTCAAGACAGCACCTCCATGCTGTGCATTAGGCTAGAAAATCTTGTCTGAATTGCCTCCAATGCTTTGGTTATCTTGTTTTAAGGAATGATATCAATGTTGTGCACAGTGCACGAGATTGGTTTCCCCCCCCATGCCCCGTATAACTGAAGCGTAACCTCCCTACAAAATGTTTGTGTATTTATAACAATGCATGGTGTCTCAGAACATGATTTACATGTAACAAATGCAATATGAAAGGAAATTGGAGTTTAACTGTAAACTTAATTCATTCTTGAAATGTATGATCAAGGTTGGTTTAAAGCATCTGAGTTATGGTTTCAGTATAGGCATTTTGTACTAGGAGGCCAAAGCCTCACTGATGGGAAAGGTTAGATGTCGACTCCCACATGACTTTTGCTCTAAGCAATCAACCCATCAATTTGGATGGTATTGGCCCCAAGGCCTTTGAGATCAATAAACAAACAGATATATTTTGCTTAGATTGCCATACTTATTTGTAGTTTTGTGTAGCAGTATTTTGTATATACTTGTTCAATATCTATCTTCTGTAAACCAAACCTTAAACCATATTATTTAATTAAAACCGTATTCAAGCAAAAGATATGCTGTTAACAATTATTGCATAAGTCTTAGTAATCCAATAAAACGTCTTCTGAAATGAGAGTGTTCTGTTAACATGTTTGTGTTAGGAAAGATAGCATTTTCCATTTATTCTAATCAATTAAATTCATTTTTTTTTTTAGTGTGTACATTGTTGGGTCAGGATGAACAGTATATAGTTCAGTGCCACAACTGATACAATTGAATTGTACAGAGTAGTTCAGGGACTGTCATGGAGTGGGCTACTTTTGAGGATTTTTTTTTAATGGTGTAGTTGCAGTATTTTAGCCTATTTCTATTTTCATTGCCCGAGTTATGCTTTGTAAACTACAGCTCTTTATATTTATTTTATGTCGGAGAAACATCCCAATTTATTTTGGAAAAGCAAAATTGATGTCTGATGGGAAAGTTAGGAGGAAAGAATGAAACATTAATGCGGAAGATTATTTCTGTTCTTGAAAAGTATTTATGAAAACAAAGGTGGATTTGTTTGAGGAGAAAGATTGGAGCTGGTCAGTTGAAGAAAGTTAGAGAACAGGCCATAGTGACCGTGAATTTGAATCAAAGGTGCACCAAAATTAAAGGACCATACTAGAAGAGACATAAGGTTGGAAGTTCAAAAATTACGTCGGAAAGCTCAAAGAGGATGAAGAGTTTGATTCCCAGTCTCCCCAGGCAATAAACAATGTAGTTTAATGGGGATAAAGGTGACTGATAAATGAGACTTTTATGCTGCTGAGTTTTGAATAAATTTGAATTTGTGGAGTTGAGTTGAATTGAGAGTGATGGAATAGGAAGTTGGCAAAGACACCATTTTAAAAATCAATCTCAAGGATAAAGGACTTGAAACTTAAGTCTGCTACAAGCAGGTTGTCCAGATGTCATGAGATGTTATTAATCCTTAATGAGTGTCCAGTGAGAGTAATGGAGTCAGAAACAAGCATAGTTTATTTAGGATAAAATTATTTCTTCCAATGATCAGGTGAAGCATCTTTTGACCCATCCACGACTTATCAGCCAGGCTGTTTGGCAGCACCAAAATGGCTGTAAGGTGGCCAAAATGATTGGGAGGCAAAACTGGATGTTATCAGCATATATCTAGAAATTGACGATAGGCCAAATCACGAGGGACAGAAAATATAGCATGAAGCAAAGATAGATTGGTAGGGGTCTCTGAAGCCAACAAAGAAGGAAAGAGAGATTCCATAGCTAAAGATGAACTTTTTTGTACAAGCAGGACTTGAGAAATGCAAAGTCTGAGAAGTCATGTAAGGGGAAAGTTGCAAAGTTGACCTATACTAATACCTCTAGAAAAGTTAGGAGAACAGAGAGACAAACCAC